AGCACGGATAGTGGTAACATATATTTTGTTACTTCTAGTGCATAATCGATACATGATTTCCGTGGAAACTCGTATATTCTTGGCTTTTTCCAGGTATACTGGTAGCAAAAATGTGTTTTTTTCAGTCTGAACTGGTATGGCCCAGTACTTATGTAGTTTCGTAGAGGTCAATCTTAGCCTTTTAACTCACTATTGACGTCTGATTGTCATTATTAAAGTGGTAAAGATTTTAAATTCGATACATGATTCTCAGTCTTTTCCTATTTGAAGAACTATGACTGCAGTGTATTCAGTAGTACTTCTGACAACTGATTATTTTTTCAGCTAAACAAGCAACTTGATGATGGATGCGTACAGTCGACTGTTTGAAAAAGTCTGAAGATTTCACTGAAGCTGCTGTCAACTGTAAAAGATAATACAAGTGTCTTCAGTGTTGAAATCACCTGTTCTAGGTCCAAATGACTCGTCAACCATTGTTAGTTGAGCTTTAGGAAAGTTTTATATCGCTGGGCAAAACAATCCATTGGAATTCGAGATTAGAACCAGTTCCTGCCTGCTGAAGATCAGAAATACTTCAAATTTGCTGATCTGGAACAATAAACTCATTTTGAATTTCATAAGGTGGTGGTGCACTTAAATATCAACTTCAGTTATTGATTTTTTTTATGCAACAAAGTTTTGCTACAGGAAGCTTAGTTCCAGAGAACTATGGGGTCAACGACTTTCCAATGTTTATCATTTTGAAGTGACGGAAGTTGAAATATGAAAACAAGTCACTATTAATGAAAAATACTATAGCCTAATGAATGTAACGGGAAAATTATGACCATAATACATGTGAAGACAATTACTTATGACATCAGGGAGTACTAGTGGATCTCTGAGTATCCAAAGCAATTAGGATGAATATTTTATAAAGAGAAATGTAATCCTTATTCTAATATATACTGTCATAGATTATGATTGGTAAAACAACATGAAACTTAAGTGCTGAAAATAGACGCAATCACTTTCCTTGGAGTTGGAGGTATGTAAAGCAAAAAAGCAACGGCTTTTAAAAATCTTAGTTATCTTCCATGCTTTAATATCTGTGCCAAGGTGAATGCCTTGACGTAGTAAGTCAGTCAGCTTCAGCATAGGACCTGAAGTTGTTTCATCTGAAACCAGTACATTAAGAGGAAAAATAGAGAAATAAAGGAGGTAGTAATCAAGAGCGGTAGAAAGTTGTGGAAATAAAACAAGAAAGAGTGAAAAAATAGTGAAATTCTGTGTGATGATTAGAATGTTGATAATAAGCGGATGTATGTGTGCCACTGAGATCGATAATGAACCGTATCACCAAATATTCAAACACTAATTTTGTTTTTCGTGCATTCCTTTACATGGTTCAGACAGACAATCAAAGACATGATCAAACAGACTTTATGTATAAGTCTCGTCACTCTTTACTCAACTATGGCCTTAGCGTACATCTGGTAACATTATGTGACAGGGCAGAAGTTAACTATACATGCGTAACATACTTACCAGCCAGCTAAGTCAATGCAGTTTGACAACCCCATCAACTGACTAATCTATTTGACTTAATACCTTACGCCTAACTCTTGCATAATGGTTCTGCGACACACCGACAACCCTATGAATGCAACACTGGCCGAACACTAGAAGATCTTTCATGTCCTCTTCCCTTAAACCCTTGTTTCACTGTCATATGGCAGAATAGATTTAACTGCCGCGTAGTGCACCCAGCTATTGGTGAACTATCAGGCACCTCATCAGATCCACGGAATGCGTAAGCCAGTGAAAGTCAACTGGGCCTTTTGTATCGATACAGAAATATTTTCATTCACCTGTCTTCTAGAGTTGGTTCGACTTCAAAGGTAAATGAAGCAGTCAACTGGCTCAATGACGTTTTTCTCGATTGTTAAGCAAGACACTATTGAAGACTAGTTCTGGATTAACAACTTACATTTGGGTGATGAGAAACGCATCCTCAAGATTTTCAGATTATCATTTCAGGCTTCCAAAAGACTCTGCATCTTGTCAGAATTTTCAACAAAAGGGCTTTGTCATCTGTGAACTCTAGGTGTACTAGAGAGATTCCTGCTACAAGATGAATACCGGTAAAGTCATAAGTGAAGAGATAGATCTCCATAAAAATGAGGATAGAGGAAACGGACATTCTTGACGAGTATTACTGCACGTACGCAACTCACACGACACCTCAACATATGCTCTAACACTTCCATTGGTGTTGTAATGCGGGGTCCTTAACAGGGTGTTTAATGCCATCTCCAGGTCAAGAAATACATACTGTGTCAGTCATGGGGAAGTGTTTAAATTCCAGTTCCGGATAGGAGGTGAATATTTAGTTGGTCAGGTTTGGAATTGGTCTGGTTTTTTCAGGTTTGCTGTTCAAGAAGTTCATCTAGGCGTCTAAAGATTTCAGACACTAAGTTTTTCAAACTGACTCTCATATGGTCATTACAGAAGGATTTCTATCCTTCCTTTAAGCAGTGACTGAGATCATTCAGAGGGGATCCCATCTGATTACCATAGGCCTTTTAAAACCTCAGTCAGCCTAACCAATAATTCTCGACCACCGTCCTTAGATACCTCTACTTCTATCCCATCTTAGCCTATTATTCTTCATCTTTTCTAGTTATTTACGACTCTCCCAACGACGTAGAGGACCTATCCTATTATTCAGTTTAGAACAAAAATAGATAACGACTAGCAGGATAGTAGCTGGGGGCGGTCTTCAAGTATCCATTCCTATTTATTATTCAGTTAAAAGTTAATGAAAATTTTCTTAAACTTTGTTAAATATAATATTCATTTTGGATACTACATGTATTCCTCACTTTATTTGTGAAAATTCACTTTTTTAAAACTTGAATGTTTTGTGGTAGCCATTTTGACTTTCCTAACAGACCACTGTTAAATGTGAATTACATAAATTGGTAGATGCTTGGTTAAAAGTTTTCATTACTGACTAAAAGTTATCTATGAATAGTCGCAATATGCATACTAGACTTAATGATACCAAACTGTGATGGGCTATATTGCAGTATTAAAAATTAGGACTCAGGCATGGAAAAGGTATGGATATAAGTTTCCTGCTTGCAAGCTGTAATCACCAAGGTGAATTTAAGCTCATAAAGTAACTAATGGTTTTATTTGGGTGAAGACGATCAGTATTAGGCCCTGGACGTAAGTTTCGCACTTGCTTACACTCGTCAGCCAGGTGTATCTGCGAACTCGAGAGAAATAATGTCCCATCTGACATTCGAACCCATATCATCTATTGATGCAGTCAGTAACGCTGCCACTGAGCAACTCGAGCCGTGATTGACCTCCTGTATGTCAGGGTTACTTACACTGACTGGCCACTGGAGAGCGACTAGGGCTTCCTGTTGGTCACCTCTAACCATCTAACATCCATCAATATGCATCGCAGTGGTGGACCTCTGACTTGGTGGTCACATTGCAAAATAATAGATAGAATTGGTTAGCGTTGGAGACTAGACAACATAAAACCGATTGCTCTGCAACAACCGATCAAGGAAATTGATGTTCTAGCACTGATTTTAATATGCATTTTGCAGTATCGTAGTAATGGAATTAACACCTTAGTTACTTAACTCAGACCATTCGAATCACATCTAAATGTTAGATATGATCCTTTATGTAATGACTAAAATAAATATATGAAGGTGATATAAATAAAAATATTAGTAATCAAATTATAATAACTGGTAGGATCGCATCGAAAAATAGAAGTCAGTTAAAGGATGACAGCTTCCCAGTTCTCCGTACTTTCGAATGGTTCCAGAGATGTTCTACAAAATGCATGGAAACAACAATGTATTTGACGATTCATATGTATTATCGTACATTTCAGTAACTCTTGTGGCAGCTCTGAGATATTTCATGCAGAGATGCACTTGTCAGTAAACATTATGTACATATCCATAGTGGAATTCGTACGTTTAATCAAGCAACCTAATTCATTAACAGTGGAAGAATCAAATACCTGATGGTGGTGTAGGTATAGAAAGACAATTAGCATTGTATGAACTGACTGACCTTCAATGTGTAACCAATGTAGCTCCTTAGTCCTTATGTTTAGCACTGTAATGTCATTTATCTTGACGCCATATTTCAGACCTGATCAATAAACCTCGACTAGCTCCAAGTATAAAGAACTTCACAGCTACGTCAATAACCCACATAATCCACGTATACTAGAAAGCAGCCGTTACTTGAAAAACTCATTGTTAAAGTCTCGCATTTCAGTACTGAGTCATGAAGGACAGGATTGAAGGAAACGATAAAACATGTACGAAGGAAGGAATGCCTCTTCTTAACATTTGGTACAGTAGTCGTCAAATGTGGTACACCTTCCAATAAGGCAGTCATTTGCAAAATGTGCCTCATCTCCTCTTTTGCTTCTCTCTTAATATCCTCTTCATACGCCTGCTTTGTATCTTGCTTTTTTCTGTGCGGAACTCTAACTCACTGCTGGTAATTCCCTATGATTTCTGCTGCCCTCTCAACACATACTACTCAAATCCATCCTTATCAGCAACGCCCATTACAGAATCACCGAAGGAACATCAGTTCCCTCATGGTTTTAGATAAGCTTTGATGTTGAGTGCCAAACACTACGAAACCTAGACCCAGAGTTTCCTGACAATTAACTTTTTAAATATAACATTAAAAACTAACATTTTATAAAGGGCTGATTTCTGACTGCTCAATATTACAACAGTGTTCTAATGATCTTTCCTTATTCGTGAATAAAATATCTGAATTTACTTGTTTGCATCAAGAAGAATAATTAACAGTTTTTATTATAATTTATACAAATGTGCAACTTTTGTGATTTATTCAGACTGGTAACAATTCTTAACTGTGAAAACCAAAACAACGTCAAATTGAGAATTTGAATTACAATTTGGAGAACTAAATCAACTGAACAATAAATAGCAACTTACCATATATCCAAATGAAGTTTATCACTTGAAACATCGTCGATTTCTCTGAAATGAACAAGGAAAAGTTCCTTTTGTAAAACAAGGTATTGTCATTTATTTCTACATAATGTATGTATGTTTATAAGTCATTTAATGTAACACAATAATCAGTATTATATGTTAGCAACCTCTCACTGTAACCAGTAAATACACTGTGAATAAATTAGGAATAAAACAAAATAGTAATTAGATTTTAATTACAGTCTAGAAATCAGATATATTGCTTCCCGGTGAAACTTTTGATACTCATTCACTCAAATTTACTTTTTGTATCCATACTAAATAGAATGATGAGTGTCAACTATCCCTATCATATGACCATTCATTGATAAAATCAGCTAAATAGTAGTAACAATTAAATTTCAGTATTACACCAATAATCACCTTTTCAAACATTTGAAGGTTGATCAACTTTATGGAAGAAAAAAGAAATAAAAACTGAAAAGTTGCTAGAAATCTAAATACATTAATAAGCTGAGTGAATAAGTGAATTGAGGGCTTCCCGTATGAATGAAAACTTACTCTGATTTCCTTTTAGTTAAAGAAGTGTTATCCTTGTCAACACTCAAAATCAGTATGAATCTGATGTGGATACATGAAATAAGCCATTAAAAATCACCTATCATCTAGTAAACCTGGTAAACACAAATATTATGTGATTCTTTCGTTCAAATCATCTTTCAGGTATTCTCAAAACCTAATGAAAATGTATTTCTAATCAAAAATAACGATTTAAACAAGATTCAAGAGATACAGCTGTTTGGGTGAATTAAAGTTGACGCAGACAGGTTGATGAGTTTATTCATAAGAAATGGAGTACATAGTTTCACATGTTGACTGAAAATTTTATTTTAGAGTTTTTAAAGGCTTTATTGTATTAAAGGTGAAGAAAGCTCTTAGATAACCGATAGTACTGTTAGTGATAAGCATAACACCTTCAAATCAGAATACAAAAAGAGATCACTGTTAGTTGAACATATGGTTCTCAGTGAGCAGCAAGGAATATCTTTGAAAGAGAGACTGCATTTTCGAGATGGTTATGAGTCTCATAGTGATGCCAATTGGTGGTAGTATACCTTATAATACTAACTATAGAGTATTACGGAATCTCAAACCTATCAGTTTTCATAACATTTTCACTTACAAATATAAAGTTGTAAATAACACCACTGCCGGTGTTCCGCATATTGCTTTGTACGCTTGATATGGTACTCTAGATTTAAAATGCTACGATAAATGAAGAGACTAATTAAAATTACGCTCAAAATTACTCATTCACATACGTTTTGAGCGGAATAATGACTGTCAATGTCAGTCATAAAACTATCTAAAGCTTATGTGGCAACAATCTTAAAACACTAGAAACTATCCACCTCAAAATGGACAAACCAAGTATGAATACATTTAAGAATTACATTTCTATAGTAGGTTTTTTTCTTAACTGATAAGAAAACTCAATTATCAACCTGGATTTTGCATAAACTGTGTAGAGTCAATTTAGAATAATAAGTATATCCTTGAACGAGGTTGCTAGATTTTATATATATATATATATATATATATATATATATAAACTTAAAGCGAAAAAATACCCCAACTTAATTGTTATGTCATAGAAGTTTATTAGTTATACGGGACTATTCCCAGCAAATGTTGATGAATCTATTAGTAAACACAATAAAGTCATCAATTTAGTGGGCTAATCACAAACTGTAGTAAGAAAAATGTTTTTAATAAATAGATTTATAACATCTACATCCTGTATTTAATCTACTTGTACTCACATTTATCAGATTAAATAAATAAACGGGGGGGGGGCTGTACAGCACCACACCAGACTAAATTTATGCTTGAAAACAACAAAAAAACGTACGTCAAATTAATTTGATTTTCCGTATATCCTTCGTGACTTAGAGTGAAGTTTTTGAGAGATTAGAGTAATTAGGATAAAGAATAATTGGCGAAAATCAACTCAGTCAAAACTTGGATAGGATGGAATTGAAGAAAAATGACGAGCAGAATGCTTGCTGTGTTACTGTATTTGATACTTTATATAAAATGTAGATTTATGTAGGTAAACCATTGTAAGCAAGGCTCTTAAGTATTCCGCTTGTAAGCATAGCAAAACAGGTCGTGGAAGTAATAAATCACTTTTTATTCAGTCAACTTACTACTATAAAGTAAACAGAACACGCTTTAGAAGTAGTGATAGCACAAAGAAAGTGCCTACTGTTTCGATAAAAAAAAAAACAGTAGGTTTGAAAAACTCCATATCACTAAAGAAGTGACTTTAAGATCAGTAGTCTGTTGAAACTTTAGGTTCACAAGCTAAATTACTGCTCATTACCAGTTCATTACTATGTGTAACTTGATGTCGAACGAAAATTGTGGTTACCAGAGCTAACCTTCAACCAAGTTAAATCTTAGTTTCACTTACACAGATATTTAACCAGCCTCAAAATGCATAAGTATTATCCACATGTTTTTGTGAATGACTTGTCGATATCGTGTCTCAGTCTTGAGTGGATTTATTAAATGCTTATCTGTTTACTACATTATTTCTGTTTAGATGATGCGAGCATTTTCCTTATGGATTAGGTAGACAGTAAAGCAACTTTCTCTTACACTTGAAATCAGTGAGTTCATTATTCACTGTGGCAATTCCTGTTATAGTATCCTATATCATGAAACTTTATTGTTTTTTGTTTCATTAAATAGTAAAGTCAGACATTCACATAACTGCAGTAGGAATAACTTTAGTCAACTACCAAAATGATTAAAAATAAGTAACTAGTACAAAAATTTATGCCTGGTAGTCCATGATTCTCGATGAATTCTGGAAACGTACATCTAGCGATGATAAATATCCAGGTAGATTTTCCAAATTTCCAGTTTGAAACCTTATACATCATAAGAAGTGAATAACTTAAGAATAAACAATCAATTTTTAAAGATACTTTCCGGATTCTAACAACAAACCAAGCATTAGAACACTTTCTTGATACACAAAAAACATAGAAAAGTTACGCGAAACGTACATATAAGCAGTTATCTGGATTTGAATTTGTCAGCTTGTTAAGCCAGGTTAGGTAATTCAAAGATAAAAATGCTCAACTTTTAATTCGGACAGAACGATTTTGATTCAATAAACGATAATAGTTAAATATCCTGAAGGAAACCTAGGACGGTATCAACACGTGACTTCAGAATTTGATGACAACTCAACAAGTACTTTGTTTTAACAAAAAATTATAGGTACAAAACTTACAGGACAGTCTACACTTCACAATACACCTTAGACCAATAGTCAAAAGCTTCATCACTTATACAACGTTCGGTCACCCTGAGCCTTCTAACAACCAGATCAGACATCAGCAAACACCATCTATCAAAGAAGGCAGTGTATATATATATGTATGTTAAAATCCCTTCAGTCAGTGAATATGCAAAACCTCATTGATTAACTAACCTTCTCTGTCTTAAGCTTCACACCTAAATTCAGACATTGATTCCACCAAATGTGAATAGTGCTATGAAAACATCTTTGTTACGAATACCGCAACCTCTTCATGACTTCTACTTTCAACGTTCACGTATCAAAATCATCAAATGGACCACGGAGGATCAAAGGGCATTCAGACCTTTTGTCGTCCCCAGAAACGAAGATAAGCAACTGCTTAGCAGTCCTTTTCTATACAAACTGAGACTTCATTGGAAACCAGCGCACACGGACTGATGTGGATCATCAAATCAGTGAAGTGGTGAACGCATTCTATCAGATGAAACTTATTTGAAACACACTCAGATTTCTGATCATGACATCTGGAAAACTATGAACTGTGTTAGCATTTTCACTTATTACTAATTTTTGATCTGTATACATCAAGTCAAAGAAATATCCTTCTATAGGTAAGTCAATTTTTGAGGTGACAGTAACGAGGGTTATGTCTATTAGCATGTGTATCACAAAGTTAACAAGGAATAGTAACTGCGGGTATCCTTGGTGGAAACCACTGTTTCTCAACACTTCAGAACCCAACTACTTATAAGCCCATACGCAACTGTCCAAGCTTGAGTAGACGCCATTAGATTAGCATTACACTACTGCTTCGTGCTCACTTCGGAAACAGATACTGCTGTAGCCACTGTCAGTCGATGAAGTCAAAAAATATGGGCTCCGGCAGTATACTTGTGTTCCAAGACATGTGATGTGGTTACGATTTGATTAAACCATCCACATTCAGCTGCGAAACTTGTCTGGTTTCCTCGAGTTTGTTACTGTCCAGGTTCAGCTAGACGCTAGGTGCTTGGATACGATGTTAGTCTAAATGATCCGCCTGAGGTTTTCACAAGAAAAACTATGGAGTGAAAAGGTCAACGGTCTAAACCATCTCTCCGGAAATCGCCCTGGTTTCCACACACTACCTAGTATCTCTATTATTCTGCCGTTTAATTTTTTATCTCCATCCTTGAAACTTTTGGTTGGAAAACCATCAGGTCCTGCTGCTTTGCATCACTTTAGGTATAAAACAGCCTTCTCTACTTGCAGAAAAATTGGAGGACCGATACCCACGTCCAATTCAGGTTAGGGCTGGATACTGGTCTACTGAAAAGTGGCTGCTTGTCGTATGAACTAATACTTAAGATGGTCTGCGTAACGTTCCAGTTGACGGTCCTCAAAGGTTAGCAGGGACCCATTCACTCAGGCAGTCATCTCACTAAACACTGTCTTTTCCTGGCCAATTTTCTTAATAACCATAAATAATTGGCGAGTATCCTAATGCTGTAGCTTTTCCCATCTCTCTCACTTTCGCCACTGATCACTGTTCATGATCATTGCAAAAACTCCTAGTCAGTTTACGTTAAAGCTACCTTCGCTACTCACTGAGGCCAGAGCTAACTTGAATGAGTTTTCTGACATCAACCAGTTAGGGTGGTATTAGGGAAATCCACTGACTGTCACTGATATTGGGGTGTAGGTTACCAATTTTTTTAACCGCTGTTTC